CAAAATGCGCTAGAGGTTTAAATTTGATAATTGATTCATATAGCTAGAATTGGTTCGCAGGCGGTCAGGAATCTTTTCTGTGTACTATTTTGAAATCTGTCCCAGTAACCCCATTTTCGCCCTACTGAAGTTCCACATGAGCCGTTATGATTAAATATCCTATGGACCACATATCAACGCTTGTATTGTGAAAATCTTTAAAAATTTCTGGAGAATGATTAGATCTATCTAAGTGTCGAATGCCAGGCGCAGGATATTCAGATGCATCTTCAAAATCGATGATAAATCAAGCATTACGATCAATATATTTTAATACATTTTCCATTAGATATCCCAATGAATATACCCTATTTTGTGAATAACCTGGGAATGGGATGTTTATGTTTATGTATATGTATAGTATATGTAATTCAAAAAAAACAAAACAATAAATAATTGAAGAAATATAAATACTTTTAGAGTCTATAAAATATAATACAAAGCAATTACCAGTTGTTTCATTGAACTTGGTCTGTGTATCAACCCCTTTGGCGAAAAAATAATATTTAGCAACTTTTCATTATCTTTTTTGTTCATTTGAACTATGTGATCAACATAAGGAACTTGTCTATCATCCATTATACGATAAATTTTCTCAAGTTTTACAGGAAAATCTGCTTTGCTAATGTAACGTTTTACCACCACATTTTGCATTAGTTCAATTATCTTTTGAGAATTTGGTTGATGAATTATATAAAATTTTTTGTGAAAAGAATCACCAAGGCCTTTACGAATAAGGGTAATAATTGACCACTATTTTTTCTGATTATGAAAGCATTCATACACCCAATTAATGTTTTAAGATTACAAGTGATTAAATCTTTTTGATATACTTGATTATCTTTATTATATAAATAACAGTAAGTTACATCAAAGCCACAAGCATAGTAATTAAATATATAAGGGCAAGATCTGTACGTTCATGATAACTTTGATGTCAATTCCTTTGCTAGATTGTTATCAGTATTTAGACCTTTTTCTTCTCTTCTTGCGAGACAGACATCATCCAACGTATATGAAAAGTCAGGATGTAGCTTTTTTGTAGATGTATTAGAAGATGAATTTCAATTATATTTTCCGTTAGAGCATACTATATTAATAGGTTTTATGATAAGCGCATCCCAAAATGAGTGAAAAGAATCTTTGGTATTGCCAGTTGTGGGTGGATTAATATAGTGATGATATCACTCATCACTCGAAAGGAGAACTCAACTGAACTTCTAAAAAATTTATTCGAATCTTGCTTAGGAAGATTTGGTCGAATGTAAATTTCACATATCATTTTGGGGAATTTCAATTGGTTGGGAAAATGGTTCTTGAAGTCAGTCTAGCAATTCAAAACTGCTTGAGATTCGATCTGGCTTTATCTCAAATATTTTATGAGTCTAGAGCTCCGAACAGGTCGGGTCGGGTCGGGTAATTGACTTGACCCGACCTGATAAGGTCAGGTCAGGTCAGA